GAACGTCAGAGATGGATAATGTATGATGACAAGACAGTGAAGGTAAATTTTACTTTCTTCAGCATCCACAGTTAATTGGTTCTTTTCGTCCCTTTAATTATTGATAAACATTTTCTTGTCAGGTCATTGGCACCTGGGAGGAGGTCCTTTCCATGTGCGAAAGAGGGCATTTACAACCCCAGGTTCTCTTTTATGAAGCTGCAAACTGACTGAATGCAGGGCCTGGTCCATTATAGCTAGAGAATGAGAGGGTAAACGGCAAAATTGTCTGTCGTTATAAATAATGCCTTTTGATTAAGTCATTGATATCTTCCAGAAAGTTGAAAAAGTTCGATGATTGAAATCCTAATTTCTGCTAGAAAGAGGATTAGAGAGAGAAAAGTTTTGCTCACTGAAGAGTATCTGACACAGCGTCTTCCTGGAACGGAGTCAAAACAACACTGAAATGATACTGGAAGATGCTTCATTGAAGGTCCATGTACTTGAAATTGGAGGAGCATCTGCCATCGGTGTCTTCCTCAAAGGAAATTATTGGCAAAGGCTCATTGTATACAAGTATATTTGCCTTTTGGCCACCCCTTAAGGTGGTTCTAAGGAAAGTTGAAGAATACCAACTGGCTGCAAATATTATGGGTTACAACTTACAACAAAGATTATTTACCGCCTGCAATAGGGAGAGCTAAAACAGCAAATATGTATCTTACTCAAGCTCGATTCCTCTGCTCCCTACTCCCTTTTTTAGCGCTAACCGATAGAAAAGAGCATACCTTTGGAAAAACGAAACAAGGAAATATGAGGAAATTTTTTTGTATAGGTAGTGCGGTATCCCATTGAACTTGTTGCAGGCTAGAAGACTATTCAACATGAGAATTTTGACGATGAATAGAAATTGGCAGATTAGATATTGTGGTAATTTCAGTTCTTGCAGCAAAATCCCCACTCCCTGCCCCGTTCTTTTTGTGAAGAAGAATGCTGAAAGCCCTGTAATTAGGGTCATCTCATGCAAAGTTCTGGTAATCTGGTCTGTAAGCTCATTTTGCACTGAAATTCCCGTCTTCATTCAATGATAAATAAGAAAAGAAAGCAGGGAATTGGGGAAGGGGATGGGCCGGATGGGAGTGATGAATTAATGCACATTTGATGAAATGGTCTATAACTACTCCTTCCGTCCCTAAATAAAACTTCCAATTTCTTATTTCTTATTTCATTGGGTAATCATAGAACATCCAATTAAGTTAAAATAGCTTGAAGAATGGATATCTTGCATGAAATATTTAGGAATAGCTTGAAGAATGGATTAGATCAGAATGGCTTTTGGATAACACTCTAGCCTTCCAAGAGGTTAATATAGCATTCTGTCGATGATGAAATTTAGCTTTTTACATGTCTCCCAAGCTTTTTACATTTACGATTTGCTTTTCTCTTCATTCATCTTCTGTCCGGAAAGATCAAAAATCAGAAAGTCTTTTAGGACATAATACAACATGGCATATTTGAGTTTCAGTGTTTGCTTCCTGAAGAGAACTAGATCATTTAAGAACAGAAGATTATGAATGTCTTTCCCCCTTTGCGATTACTTTGTTAGTATTATAAGGATTACTCATTTAGTGTTACAAACCTTACATGGGTTACTTCTTTAGTATTACGGGTTAGTTAATCAGTGTTAGTTACATGGGTTACTTTTTCAATGTTATAGGGGTTACTTTGTTTATTTACGAGCAGCCATATAGTGTGGCCAATCACACACAAAACGCGCTATCATAACGGAATGTGTGTCACAATTAACCTATACATTAAACTAGTTATTGACAGGCCACACACAAATTTAAGACGGATGTCTCTTAAAGTATTACTTATTACCTCCGCTTTTTTAGTTGACGTGCATTTCTTTTTAGGAAGTTTTTTTAGTTGACACATTTTCTTTTGGGGTAATTTTTTTTACCTTATATTTACAAGCTACTCCACTTGCTTTATTATTATCTCTCTCCTCTCCTTCATATGTATGGCTAAATTGATTGCGTTAACTAAATAGAAACAGAGAAAATATTATTTTGGGATTAATAATTAAAATGTTGTTTTATTTATTGAAGTCTAGAAAAGGTAGTATTATTATTCTTGAAAATTTTTCCAAACATTTTTTTTTTAATTTTATGAAATTATTGAAACATAACAACATAGAAAACACTAAATATATTAATATAATAACACAAACTTTCATATGTGGTTGACCACAGTCTGGCTTGCCACTTTCTTTTTTTATTTTTTTTTTCTTTTTTTTTTGGGAAAGAAATGGACAGAGGGTTATTTCATTATTTGGTTAGGGCCTCAGGGGTTTGCTCACTCAGTCATGACTTACTCAGTCAATTAGGGGGAACTCGATTGGTCAGGGGTTACTCAACTAGTCATACATTACTCAGTCGGTCAGGGGCTATGCGCGTGTTAGCTAATCACACACAAATGTTGCTAATATAATAAACGTTCATAAGATACAGAAGGAGTGATTAATTTGAAATTAGATCTAATTATCATTTTAAATATTTTTTGTTGTGTAAATATTATTTACATTTATCTAAATGTTTAATTATCATTATGAGTAGTCAATATCTTTAATTTTTCAATTAAGGGCTTGTTCTGTTCATTTTATTTACACTTATTTTAAGAGAGATAAGTTCAAGGAAAAATAAGTTCTGATAAGGGTTATTCAAGTTTTAATTACAATTAAAACAAGTTTGTTAACTTATTTCAGGATAGATAAGTTTAGGAAAAATAAGTTCTGATAAGGGTTATTCAAGTTTTAATTACAATTAAAACAAGTTTTAATTACAATTAAAACAAGTTTTAATAAGTTCACTTAGATTAAGATAGTATAGAAATAGTCATAAATTATTGTTGGATTCACCTAATGTGTATTTTCTAATTTCATAATTTTAGCTAATACATAATTAAAGTTGACGTTTTTTTTTTGAAAGAATTGAAGTGAATAAAATCATATACGTATTATAAGTTTTGAAGACGGTAGGAAGTCAAAATAAAAACAACAAAAGCAAAACAGATATAGTACATGATAATGATGCCACAATTATAGTAAATGCCTCAATCTATATTACTACATTCGGTCCAAATTAATCATAATTTTGGGATATTATTTATGAGATACGGAGTATAAAATATTTCAAAGTTACGAGTAATTTGGACCGGAGATAGTATGTTGATTGTTGAAGTATTAAGAAGAATTTTCAAACAAGTTTAGATATCACGTGTTACTTTTCACTTTTGGTTGATTTTATAAACTAGGAATGTACTTGTAGAGTTGTAGACTTGTAGTTCAAAATTCAATAACTAAAAAAACAAAAATTCAAAAATGTTAAAAAGTTAAGATATTTGGTACTTGTAGACTTGAATTCAAAATTCAATTACTAAAAGCAAAGACCATTTCATATTTGATAAATGAAAAATTAGATGTTCTATCTATATACTCCCTCCGTTTTTAAATACTTGCTCCATTTCTTCATGCGTGGATGAGTTTTAGGAGAAATTGGAGACAATTATAATATATGGAGCCAGGGGCGATGCCAGGATTTTAAAGCTATAGGGCCCGACTAAAACTTTAATAAAAAAATTAATGTGAAAACGGGCTTATCCTAGGATCTAATTAAAAGTTTAAAACCCCAAACAATGGGATTCAAACCACTGCGGCAATTGTTAAATACAACTTAAGTTATAACAAGAATATTACTACTCCCTTTGTGTTTTAATAAGTGTTTTTACTATTCACATAATGGTTTTGAACTTTTGACTTAATTAATTTACCAATATATAAAAAAACAAATGTCATTGTATAATACATCGTTAGATTCGTTATAATATATACTTTCATGATATCAACTTTTCTATAATTTTACAATATATAATAACATAAATTAATGGTCAAACTTGTGCCTCGACGTGTTTGGTCAAATTGTAAACTTATTAAAAACACGAAGGGAGTACATCTGTTTCATATTATTTGCAACGATTAGACATTTTTTCTCGATGCTTTATGTCAAATGCAAATAATATGAAACGGAAATAATATTTATTCGAAAACTTATAGGGGCCAGCAGTTAAGATTAAAGGCCACGAAATTGGTCCATGGGGGTCGGGCCTCCACCCACCCCCCATGTAGCTTCGCCCTTGTATGGAGCCATGGAGGTAGTGGGGTAAGTGGAAGAATAAAAAATTGTAAGAAGCAAAAGTAGTGGAGATGATTGAAGGAGAGAAAATATGTGATGGGTCCTCTAGGTGAGAGAAATTAGTTAAATATTGTAAAAACTTTCCAAATAAGGAAAAGAAGCAAGTATTTAAAAACGACAGAAAAAAAAATGGAGCAAGTATTAAAGAACGGAGGGAGTAATACTACACGTCGCATAAATAATGAAATTAAAATACTAATGCGACAATAACATTAATTTTTCTATAGATGTTCATAGAACAATAAAGATATCTAAACCAAATACTCGGTTGGTCTATTAGCTAGCTTTGATAGACTTTATTTCATTCAATCTTTTACAACGTTAAAAAAAAAATTATCCTTACTTTTTCAAAAAAAATAAATAAATAAATAAAACGTTGACGTTTTTTTTTTTTTTTTTGGAATGTTGTAATGTTATCTACTTATCTCCCACAAGGCCACAACTTCTTTTTTTTATTTGTATTTTTGTTTTAAATATATCTTGTTCTTTTTTTTGAGGAATGTGTTTGAATATATCTCCCACAAGTTCATCTACACCTTTTAATTTACGTTTGGTCCTTTTGTTTATTTTAAATTAATTATGAAAAAATACTTATTTTGTAAAGTTGATACATTAACAAATAAATAGTAAATGTTCCATACTGAACAATATGCTAGATAAATAAATAAAAGAGTGTATAGCTTAGTCCAAACCTCCAAACTTTTTTTTTTTATCCTTGATGACATTGACCGTTCATTAAAAATTAAATGTTACAATAATTGTGCAAGAAATAGTAATGTGACAACATTGTTAAATAAAATCTACTGTAAAAAACATTAACAGAAAATTTAGTGCATGCTTTGAAAATCGATAGCCAGCCAAATTACACGGTTACACCTCTACATTGAGAGATAAGAAAAGATATTCATTTTTTTTTTTTTTTTTTTTGACGAGATATTCATTTTGTTTTAATTAAACGGAAAGGAAGATATTTTTTTTTTATTTTTTTATTTTTGAATACAGAAAGAGGGAAGGATATTCATAGAAAACAATTTAATGGTAATTATAAAATGTGACAAAGCTAATTGACTAAGTCATCATTTTCATAAATCTCAACAACAACAAAGATTAAAAACAGTGATAACTTTAACCAAGTCATTTTATCTCCATCTTCTTCGGTTATAAAGACTGTTTCATATCACACACACAAAAAAAACAACAAATTATATCATTGATTTTGTTTCCAGAAACTCTCTTCTCCTTGTATTTTTAAACTTTTGTAAGGCCTGTAAGGAGGTTTGGTAAAATGACCCTTAAGAGTGGCACCAACCAAGCGTGCGCCGCGTGCAAACACCAGCGGCGGAAGTGTGCACCGACGTGTGTTCTTGCCCCCTACTTCCCTGCTGATCAGCATAAGGTGTTTCTGAATGTTCACAAACTCTTTGGAGTTAAGAAAATTCAGAAACTACTACATGAGCTACCCCCAAGCATACATGGTGAAGCAATGACCTCTATCATTTACCAAGCAAATATGCGGGATCGTGACCCGGTGCATGGATGTCTTGGAGTGATTTATGCTTTGGAAAATCAATATTGGCAGTGTGTGGCAGAGCTTTTTGATGTCCAGTACATGCTTAATGTATTCCGCCAGCAACATGAAGAGCAGCAACAGATGCCATCAGATGGTTTTCCGAATGAAGACTTTGATGGGGCGTCACAAATACAACTGGGGTTGGCGAATATGGTGCCAATTTCCCAGAGTCACTCGTTCTCGAGCAGTAGTAGTCCTTGTAATCCTACTTTTCTTGACGTCAAAGAAACACTGGTGAACTCCTTGTGGAACCAACAAGGAGAAGTTAATGATTGTAAGAACAGTGAGGATGAGAAAATAATGCCTGCACAGTCAAAGTTGGTGGTCACTCCAGAACCACGGGCTGTTCAGAAGGAATCCTTTCAGGATTACGACAACATGCATCCGTATTTTGACACCATTGATGACAGACAATCATATGTTGACACTAAGGAAGCATATGAATCAAGGTATATAACAAATTACATACTGTATAATATAATACATATAACATTCATATGTTAATGAAAAAAAATGCTAGAAACATTGCATATAGAATAGGAAAGAACAGAATGGCAAAATCTATGCCAGCAGATGAAAGAACTCTTTTCGTTTTTACTTTTCCAGCTAATATCTTTTGCTGAATGTGTATACGCAGAAATTGCAGATCAAAATCATCGGCAAAAACAACAGCAAAGTGCAACCAGCGTTTTGCTAAGAAAAAATTTATGAGAGCTGCTATCATCTAATGATATTGATAAGCACAATTTTGAACTGAGAACATTTTTTTGAGTCTTTTTCTTCTATAGTCGGGTAAATTTTTCGCAATTCTTTATTCAGTTCACACTTGTTATAATGTGTATGATAAAACTATACTCATTACATAAGCAATAATAAAATGAAATGAAAAGAGTTTATGGCCTTTATGCTGAAAGTGTTATCTTCTACTTCCTCCTCATCTAGCAAATTAAGATATGGTCGCTCTTTGCAAGGATATAATATAACAACACCATAGTCATAAATTTTTTGGTAGTCAGCATATAGTAAACCATTCTACATTACTGTCATTCATACAGAAAGAATTTTGTTATTATAGTCGTTGAACATGATATTATTCATTGGGGATCATCCTAATATCTGATGTCCCATGAACTCTCAATGTACTAATGAAGATAAGAAGTGTACTTACGACGTGTAACTAAGATACTTCAAGGAAGCATGACCTATCATTATTTAAAAAAGATGTCGCCTATTCTATTTCCTCAAAACTAGACGGCTAGACATGTGCTCTAATTGTCTAACCAACTGAATGTGTCAAAATTGGTTGAATCATACATAACATACTATTTACAAGGTTGTTTATGCATTTACCCATTTTCCGTCTTGTATTTAGGGTAAATATCATAGAAGCCGAGTGTTGTAAGATCCACAAAATGGACACTTGTGATGAAGCCAGTGGTAGGCAGCAGTTCCTTTCTTCTCACAATCATTGCATAATATGGCCTGAAGATTTTTTAAGTTAATTATAACTACACAGAGTATTAATCCAGATGGACTAGTCAAAGATTGCACAAACCTGAGTTCGGCCTACATACTCCTCTGGTATGTTCTCTTCAGCTAAAAGTGCATCCAACATTCCAAATAACACCTGCATAACATCCCATTTTAAAAATAAAAATAAACAGAATTTACATCACTAATTTTTTATAATTTCAAAATCGACTTACGTCTTCAGCAAACTTAACTAATTTTTTTTGACAAATTCAAATTCCATTGCAAAAAAATAATTGCTTAGGAGAGACATATACAAAGCGAAATGTTGAGTGTGGCCAATGTGCTGGTAAAGAGTATGTGCACACACATTCTAAAAGCTTCAAAATAAATCAAAGCAAGAAAGGTTAATGCTTGTTCATGATATATTCGAATTAATCTCCTCCCTTTGTTCTTTTGTTATCTTCTACTTTCCATTTTGAATTTTTTTAGGCCAAAATTGAATTCAGCAGCACCAACTACTACAACTTGGGTGCACCTAATAGCACGATTTTTAGTGGGTGTAGCCCACATAATGAACTAAACTTGGGTGTATGAAACACATAAACGACACTGGAGGTGAAATAAAATACAAAACTATATCCTCTAATCTAAGTTATTTTTCCAACCTAAGCCCATAGAATTCATGAAATGACATAGGTCATCAAATGAGAAATAGAATAGTAGATTATGTCATTTCATCTATGCCATCCATTGCAACAAATCTGTATTTTGTGTTGTGGCTACACCCAAGCTCATAGTTCATGGTGTGGGTTGCACCTTTTTTTTTAAAATTTTTTTAAAAAACGGTAAGATACGCACTGGGGGGTGAATGGGTGGTCACACCTGGGGGAGATGGAGGGACTAACCTTGTAATTTTGTATTTTACCCCCCTCTCTCTTCCCTTTTCCCACTACTAAAAAAAAAAGCGTGTCAACCTCTATGGTGCAATAATAAAGAACGGTGGAAGTAATTAATAATACTAATGTCTCTAAAATTTCTCTTCCTTCCCAAAAAGTCAAATTAGGGAACCATTTTCCACCAATATTTTCAAATTGCTATAGTAAATAAGAAGGGAATACAAGGTTGTATCATGCAAGAGATTACTTTAAAGTTGGAAGCAACTAGAGAAATGACTCGTGAACTTTTTAGAACATTATAGCTATAATAATGATAAAGGAATTTCCATCATCTTCTAACCATTTCTTTCATTCACGATCTTTAACTAGGGCATTCATTCACAAGCATGGACATTAGAAGCCATACTCAAACTACAAGCCTTTGTACATATTATTCCTCTTTGTATACCATCCATCATTCCACTCAATTTACTAATCCACTTTGCACAACTCCGATATGAGGTTTTATCTTTTAAATAGTGAGTGTTAATATTGTATGATTTAACCCCTAATATTTCAGGGTTCTTGTCCTCTCATATACTATCATATAATGGATTTCCGGGTACTTGTCATTCATGGGTTTTTTTGCCTCTATTTGAGGAGGAATTTTTAAACATTAAACAGTGCATAGCCATCACATACTCTCATCCATAGGGTTCTTGTACTCTCATATACTATCATATAATGGATTTCCGGGTGCTTGTCATCCAAGGGGTTTTTTCCCCCTCTATTTTAGGAGTTTTCGGAATTATTAAACATAAAAAACAGTGCATAGCCATCAGCTTTTTATAAAATCAACTAACAAGGCGTCAAGGCGTTCTAGTGTCCTGAATTTCACAAGGGCGTGTTAGCTATATGTTACAATAAATATTGATTATACCCCGCATCATACACCAGTGACCAGTGTTATGTTTGTCAACATCGCTCCAAGTCCTTGACAGATCACAAAGCTTTTTGAGGGTAAAAATATTGAAGATTTTTTTTTTACCCCTTGTATTTTCTCTAGTCTAACTAGCCTGATTTCACTTTCGCACTTTACTTTGCCTTCTTAACTGATTTTTATTCATCACTTTCACAAACAGTTTTGAATGATGGTTCATGTTAGCCAAATCCTCCTGGGATTGTGGCTTTGTTGGTGTTGTTAAAATTAAGCCCCTTGAAAGCTTCAGTAACCCCATCTTGCAATTATTCCAATTTTTTAATCAGAATCATCTTCCTATTCCCTAATTTCAGTGCTTCTAAGCTATGTTATCTCATACCAGTTACTAGTTTAAGTTGATGCGGACATTAGTTTCCTAAATATTACCTTTTACTCCAAAAGAGAACAAATATGAAATATGAGAAACTAAGATGGGCAGATTATTCATAAATAGCAACAATAAAAACAAAAGATTTATTAAGCATTAAAGCATATCTCAATCAACAAACTGACGAAAATTTCTAGGCTATGATGTTGCAGAAGTGATTAGAAGATTTAGGTTTAAAAAAAAGGTGGAAGTAATCTACTTAAGTTTAAAAGCTAAACAACTAAAGCTATTAATTGTTAAAGAAAATTACAAACCTGCATGTCACCGAGCGACTTGCTGCATACTGGACATGTGTAGCGTGTGCAAGTGTACTCCTGCACACCAGGTGAAATAATTCAGAATTTGTAACATTTTGGACAAATAAAACTATCAAAGGGTCATGGCATATTTACAGATTTTGGTGCCTCAAATGAAATGTTTTTAGAGTTTACAACTTAGAGTCTTAGAAGAATGAAAGTGTATAGAAATATGTCACTCTTGCATTTTACAGAAACTCTATAGCAGGGCATGTTCAACACTTAAAACATAAACAGTTCTGTTAAAATATAACTGTACCATTAATTTACCAACTTATATGCAAAACTGCAAAGGTATTCTACATATATTATGCAAATAAAAGAACAAATCAACAAACACTTAATATGTTTTGCATGAAAAAACAGGTTTTGGCTATTTTACTACTCCGTATGATTTATTATTCTAACAGACTACAGGGCAGGCATTTTATGTTAATAATGAAAATTTTAAAAACTACTATTCTTTTGTTCAGCTTGAATGTACAAATGTACAATGTGTTTTGTCACTTTCCACTAACCTTTTTGACTTTTTGTTTTTCTTATACATTGGCTAGAGTAGCTACATCAAAATTTCAATCCCGTTTTTTACTTTTAATATGTGTGCGACTGTGCATAAGCCTAATAAGAAGTTTATTTGAGGAAAAGAGAGGGTATCATTATATCATAAATTTGATAAATTTACTTATTATAAATTTATTGTTGGCATTCAAATTGAGGTATTCTTTATGAGTGTCCTTTTAAAAAATCATCTTAATTGTCTACATGAACCAAAAGGAGCACAAAGGAGGCTTTTCAATACCTCAAAGCATGATGAGTGCATCAAATGACCACACGCAAGGGCTTTTACTGGATCACTTGAAGTAAACATGTCCTCATGGCATATAGGGCACTTATCCTCAATACACTTCTCCCTGCATACATGTGAGGACGAAAGAGACCGGTTCATGCATGCATTACATTTCATGCAATGGAAGTAGTCAATCCCCAATCCTTTTCCAAGTCGGCATAAGTTACAATAGGGGCAGTGATAGATCTCCCTGTCTAATAAATTTTGTTAGAGACATCAGAGACCACAGGTTTTTAATAATAAAGTCATAGAGTTCTCCCCGGTAAATTAACCTGTTGTCGTCAAATAATCGACAAATCTTGCAATAGTGTCTTGCCATAGAAAACTTGTTACAGGAAGGAATCTGGCAAGTGGGTCCAATCGGTTGAATTTCTAAGCACATCATGCACATCATTTGGGTAGTGGATTTCCTGCAGAAGAGCTCACTAATTGAGGAAAGGACGACTTTTTCATTAACATGTGAAGGACAAAAATTATTACAAATTACCTATCCATCTGGTGATCAGAAACCTCATCATCATGGCAGCGTCTGCAAGTGAAAATCTGGTTGCAACAAGCTGCGACAAGCTTGCAATTTTGCTTGTAGTGTTTGCAACCAAATACAGAGCCTCCTGTGTCTCTATATGAGGGAAATTGACCTGGAAGCCTTCCAGACTCACTTGTAATCAAGCCATTTGAATCAGGCAGTGATTGTGCAACCCAATGGCTAAAGAATGACAGAGAACAAGCATGAATTAGAGGCCACTAATAATTTAGATTTAGAGATGCAATGAGGTCAATAACTTAAGAAAGCCTACTATGAGAATGCAAGAAAAATACTATGTTAGCTTAAAGAGAAATCACAAGAGTAGATTTTAATTTACACAAAATATCAACACTATATATCTTTTTTGTCACTATACAGGTCTTCATTTTAACCCTCTTTATCCTTCAAACAACCAAACTTGGGTTGAAAACGGAGATTATGAACAGTAGATACAAAGACAAATGGCAAGAAAATGTGTGGGGAGGGAGACTGAGAAAGTTCAAAAGGAAAGGGTGAAGTTTTTTGGGACATTTTATTGTGGAAGAATGAGATCTATTT